GGCGGGCTCGGTCCGCCTCCCGCGGGGTCGCGCCCCCACCCCCTCCCGCAGCTGCGCGCGGACACGCCCTCCGAACGAGGCCTCCGCGCTCCGACGCCGCCGCTCAGTAAGTGCCAGGTGTATTGGGTGCGATCCTGGGGTTCGTGTTTCGTCGGTAGTTTAGGAGGGGGAGGGGGCGTCGGAAGCAGTGTCGGCCCTGAGTTGGTAATAGCGGAGGGTCGACGCGGAGCACCTGCGGGTTCTTAGGCCACGCTGCTTTCGAATACGTTTGGAATGTTCCTTGATGAACGGTAAAGACAAAGGAGAGAGACACACACACAAAAATGAGGCTTCGAAATGGAGCCGTCAGAGCGGCACCTGCGCTCCCGCCCCGCTCCCTGCAGAGCCTCCTTCTCCGCGTCTACACTGCGCGCGCGGGGCTCGCAGAGCCTCCTCCGTGTCGACACTGCGCTGCCCCAGGGCTTGCGGTGAGCAGGCCTCCGGACCCCCCAGGCCTCCGGACCACCCCCCCAGGGCCGGACCACCTCCGGCACCTGCAGGTGAGTCCAGAATGGGTTGCTTACCCACATTAAAACCAAACAAAAGGAGACATCCTACGGGACTCAGAATATAAGAATTGGGGCCAATGTCTGAGGCCCCCATTTGGAGCGTTCTCATTCTCTGGGCAAAATCCCCTTCGTTTGGAAAAGATTGCAAATCAGATATACAACCAGGGATTTGTACCCAGTAGATATAAAGAGCCCTCAAAACTCAGAAGTAAGAATAGATAGGTATGAGGGTCTTGGTGGGGGTGCAGATGTTCTAAAACTGGATTATGGTGATCAACTTACTAAAACTCATTGAATTGCACACTTAAAATGGGCAAATTTTATAATATGTACGTTATACCTTAATAAAGTTGTTTTTAAAATGTCAACACTAAAATAACTAAAGCCCATAAGCAAAAAAAGAATTGGACAGTTCACCAAAGAGGATATGCATAGGCTAAATAAATAAAATAGATCACGTGAAAAGCCGTTCAGTATCAGCCATTAGGGAAAAGCAAATGGAAACCTGGCTGTGCACCAGTGTGCAGCCACTGCGATGGCGAAAATAAATCAAAACGGAGGGCAGACCAGGGTCCAGAGCAGCCGTCTCTCTCACACCTTGCTGGTGGGGAATGCCAACTGGCGCGGCTGCTCCAGAAGGTAGTGTGACAGAGTGACAGTTAGACGTACGTCCCCATATAACCCAGCGATCACACTCCTCCTGGGTATTTATCTTGAAGAACGAGAACGCCGCTTCACACAAACTCCCACACGTGTGAATGTTTATAGCGGCTCTTTTCGCAGTTGCCAAAAGCTGGTGCTTCGGCCCTCACGGGACGGAGTGAGTGCTGCTCCACAAGACGAAGGGACAGACCCTTGCTACCCTCAGCAGCATGGTTGAGTCTCAAAGAGGCCATGATGCCGAGGGACAGAAGCCGCTTACTCTCTAGAGGATACACACGTATGACTCATCGGAATGGCATTCTCGGAAGGACCAAGCCCCAGGGATGGAGAGGCGTCAGTGGTCGCTAGGGGCTTGGCAGGGAGGGAGGCGTCTGGGTGATGGGGCCCTCTTGCGTCCTGATTACACGAATCTACACACGTGTTAGCATTCAGAGAACGATACATAGAAAGTCACTTTTATTATGTAATTTAAGAAATGGAATCTTTAAAAGTCCTCCTCTATTCCACGGATACTTTAAGAGCCTGTCACGTGCCAGGCACTGGGCAAAAGCAGTATGTGGAAGGACCAGTGAGAGCATCTGGGAGCGAGACCCCTGAACCTGGCCTTGATAGAAAGCGGAA